AAACCCTAAACCCTACTCCCTAAACGAAGATCCTTGGGAGGGGGGTCTCAGGTCTGGATCTCGTGGTGTGGCAGGCCAGGACTTTCTGGCTTAGGGCTTAGGTTTTAGGGTGTTGGGTGTAGGGTTTTAGGGTTTTGGGCTTAGGGCTTAGGATTCAGGGTTTAGGGTTTAGGGTGTAGGGTTTAGGGCTTATGTTTCCGGCTTAGGGCTTAGGGCTTAGGGTTTAGGGTGTAGGGTTTAGGGCTTATGTTTCCGGTTTAGGGTGTAGGGCTTAGGGTTTAGGGTGTAGGGCTTTGGGCTTATGTTTCCGGTTTAGGGTGTAGGGCTTTGGGTTTAGGGTGTAGGGCTTTGGGGCTTTGGGTTTAGGGTTCAGGGTTTAGGGTTTAGGGCTTTGGGTTTAGGGTTTTAGGGTTTAGGGTAGGGCTTTGGGTTTAGGGTTTAGGGCTTAGGGTTTAGGGTTTGGGGCTTAGGGTTTAGGGTTTTGGGGCTTAGGGGTTTAGGGCTTAGGGTTTAGGGCTTGGGCCTTAGGGTTCAGGATTTAGGGCTTAGGGCTTGGGGTTTAGGGCTTAGGGTTTCGGTTTAGGGTTTAGGGTTTAGGAATTTAGGATGGAGGTAGGTGGAGTAATTCAATAAGAGGTACAGGACTTTATGTGGCCCCAGTGCCCGAGTCATACGCGGAAGACGTACTTTAGAGTCTCAGCCTACATTGGGCTCGCAGGGAATGACTATGATATGGGCATTTCACGGTCAAGTGGTCTCAACATCGGGCTTTCTAGAAGCCTGATGTGTGCAGGAGATGGTTTGTAGAGGCTTAGGGTCTAAAGTTTAAGTGCCGTTCGCGCCCAATTTGTGAAGCTGAAGCATTTTCTGAAGTAGGCCTTGGCCCCATTAACACGGCAGTCATAGAAGCAAGATCCTTCTAACGAGCCCTAATTGTGCCTAACATCCTCAAAGCACCAATCCAAAAGTACCGAACGCCTGAAGCGTTAGGAGGCTGCATCAACAATCCAATTTCAATATAGGAGCCTAAATAATTACCTATACTATTTTGGGGGTTCCTGGTTATAATTATGGTATAAAGGGCCCCCCAAAACCCTATTCTAATTATTACGGCCCTATATTACAGCCTCACCCTTACAACCCTGAAGTCGTAACTCCTACCCCTGTGCAGCGCCAAAGCACGAACCTTGAAGCCGTGAACCCGAAGTCTCTCATGAGACCGGGTTTAGGGTTTAGGGTTTAGGGTTTAGGGTTTAGGGTTTAGGGTTTAGGGTGCAAAACCAATACGACCCTCATAAAAACCCAAGATAGCGGGCAGGTTCCCGGTGAGGAGGGTCACGAGAATGGAGGCTGGAAGGCATTTTGGCTGCAATTCCAGCGGGCTCCTCCCGTAAAATTTGGACAGTGCGACCGGAGGGCGTTGCAGGGTTCAGGGTTTAGGGTTCAGGGTTTAGGGTTTATTTATCTTTGGCCTTAAGTCTTCACTAATGGATTAAAGGTAGGTGTGGAAGTTCCGCTTTGTCATGTGGATAATGAGCCCTAAACCCTAAACCCTAAACCCTAAACCATGAGAATTCGCATCCAGGCGTCGCCGTTATCTGGTAAGGTTTCCGACCCTGGTGCCCTAAACCCTAAACCCTAAACCCTAAACTCTAAACCCTAAACCCTAAACCCTAAACCCTAAACCCTAAACCCTAAACCAAAACCCAAAACCCTAAACCCTAAACCCTGGTGCCCAAAAGGCCTCACAACCTACATCCCGAGCTCTGAGGCTTTGGGTTTATCTATGGTCATGTATAGGGTCTAGGGGTTCAGGGGTTT